GGGGGGGGGGAGGGCAGCGGGCGGCTTACCCCCTCCCCTCGCCTTGTGTGCGTGTGAGGGGCGGGGGGAGGAGAGTTTCCGTTACGTTCGTGGGGGGGGGGGGGGGGGGAAAGAAACGAGTGAAATCGCGGTCGGCGATTGGCTGCCGGTCTCCACCAATGAGCGGCCGCCGCTGCACCCAGCAACAGCCGGATTTAGCCTGCTGGCTGCGCGCCAGCCGCCCCTGCGCGCGCAGGCGGGACGTGCGGGGGGCGCAGCGCCCCATGGCGGCCGAACCAGGACGATGAGGGGTCCTCGGGGGCTGTGGCGGCTCCGCGTCCCGGAGCGCGCTTAGTAACGGCCGAGTTGTAAAGACGTGGGATAGCCTGGAGGGTGACGGCTCGTTGCCGTCGCGTCCGTTGCCACGGGCGCCTCTGGAATCCAGAGAGGGATCGTGTGCTGACGCGAATTCTTTGTCTCTTCAGTTCTTGAAGAACAAGATGGGAAAGACTGAGAAGGCTGCCACTCCCCACGGCCAGCCCGTTCACGGTTTACATCTGTGTGAACAACCAAAGATTAACAGGCAGAAGAGTAAATGTAATGTGCCACTGACAAAGATCGCCTCGGCAAAAAAGATTGAGAACTTTTGGCAAGATTCGGTACCGCCAGAAATCGTTCAGAAGCAGGAGAAAAAGCCACTTAAAAACACAGAGAACTTCAGAAATGCCAAGTCTAAGAAACCCATCACCCTCACAGATGCGAACCAAAAAGAAAACTATGCTGGGGCAAAATTCAGTGACCCGCCATCTCCCAGTGTTCTCCCAAAGCCCCCCAGCCACTGGGTGGGGGGCACAGCTGAGCTGTCTGACCAAAACAGGGAGTTGATGGCAGTCCATCTGAAAACTCTCCTCAAAGTTCAGGTGTAGTTTCCAAGCTTTCTGAATAGCTGCAAAGCAAACTCCATCCATGAAACTTACACATGCCTTGTTGCAAACAAAAAAAATTTAAAAAAAAAAAAAAAAAAAAATTAAAAAAAAAAAAACCCACAAACGAAAGACTGTCAAGTCTTATACTCGCATACAAAATTCCTTGTATTATATTTTTTATGGTTGTGTAAATAGTGTACATCATGTATTATGTGTATATTCTTGTTCATACTTTGAGAGGTACATTTTAGTTTTGTTATGAAAGGATGTATTTTGCACTGCCTGATTGGTAGATGTCTTGTATATACAACATGGACAGTTTTAAGTGTGCGCTTGACACGTGAAGACTTGACTTGATTTGCACAAGGTAAAGAAAATTCTGAACGGAGAGTACAGCTTTCTGATGTTAAGGTTCCAGATCAAATGTGAATGGTTTATTCATGCACTGCTGACAATAGTTCTATGTTCTGTGTCCCAATCAAGTATAAACATGGAATTTTCATACAAATGTGAATTTCTGCTTGGAAACAGTATCTGGAATTCCTGTTTATCTGTTTGTAACAAAATTAACTGGAATTTGAGTAGAATTCCAACTCATCGCGTTGAGCACTGCTGATTTCTTTTAAGAGAACAAAAAAGAAAAGAGCAGAGCTTTCTACCATAAATTTAATTGGTCACTTAAAAAAAATTAAATAAAACAATTTGGCCTCCCCTAAGTCATGTCTCTGTTTTTCTTCTGTGTGTGTGCGTCTTCAAGCATTTGAACTTAAATTGCTGTGTTGCTGCTTTTTTGTGTGCGTAACAGATATTTTTTTGTCCTTGTCAGCCTTTAGTTATCCCAGTAACAAAGAGGTCCAGTAGCTTACAAAACGTTTCCTCTGTAATACATCAGAAGAGGTTCCATATCCCTGTTGAGATTCCTTATCCTTTTGTTTCTTTAAAACTGGGATTTTGAGATGCTTGGAGAATTAAATTCGAATTCATGCTGCAATGCTCCTTAACAATTTCCATGGTAAGCAGTCACTGAATTCGTTGATACTGAAAGGCAGCAGTGGCTGAAAGAGGGCAAATGGAGTTTCCTGTTCTGCACTGATATTGTCTCCTGTTGGTGGCTGTGCTGGAAATTGCTTTCCTCTGATCTAAAATTCTTAAGAAACTGGGCTGCAGATTAGTACAAGGGTGTTGACATCATAAAGATTTATGACTACTTTCAGTATTTAAATTAGGTGAGTAAGTCATGAGGTGAAAAAGCTTCCTTGAATTTTCACATCCACTGGAAAAAGGAGGAAAAAAAAAAAAAGAATCTTGGGCATTAGTTTATGAGGAAGTTTACGTGAGAGGAAAACAACCAGTGGGGTCCTAGGTAGAGCATTCCTTTTCTTAGCATGCGCAGCAGAGATTCAGGGACCAACTTTAGCTAGATTTGTATCAAGCGTTGCTGCTAGTTTGTATCAAGTGCTGCTAGTTCTGATGGTGTGCTCACCTTGTAGAGCTTGTATGAATTGGTGATACTGATTAACCACAAGTTCCAAACTCCATTGCTTGAAATGTAATGGAGATCATCTTTGCATTATATATATTTGAAAAAAAAAATATTAAAATGCCATTAAGCTACATAAGTACTTGCTCTGAACCAGAAGTTCACACAAAAACTTGGGAATACACCAGATATTTCTGTTTCACTAACTTTTAAAATATACCTGCATTAATTAATAGTGCTACATTCTTGAGGAAAATGTATGGGCTCCATAATTTAGCAGGTCTTCTGGCAATAAAAGTCTCCATTTTTGAATTGTCATTAAATAGTATTAAGACCAAGAGAAATGCCAGTAGAATCTCACTGAAAATGTGTCTAGCAGACATTAAGTCTAAAGTTTACCACTTTTGGTGCATTAAGGATTTGTTTGTTTGTTCTCTTCTTTTTGCCTAATGCCCATGAGGTGTGAAGGAAAATGCCTTTAAGAACTCCCCATATTTTTGCTAGTACTTAGTTTTATCAGCTGAACTCATGATTTATCAGCTGAACTCACTGAATCTTGGTAACTAGCTTGACAAGATCCAGTTCCAGAAGATGTGGTTGGGCGCTAATTAAAATACAGCAACCCTTTTTTCCCTGCTTATTACCTGTGCTACTGTCAGTCTCTTTTCCTCCCTGCCCTTTGGAGCTGATGTCAAAATATTTAGTCTAAATGATAATTCTGATCCTACATGGAACTTGCTAATGTAACTCACCTCTGTTTCTGCCTTGATTTGCTGTCATACATCTGGGGATTACAGAATTCATTTAAGAGCAAGTGACATTAGTTCTCAGCTCCTCAGAAAGTTCTTTAGAGCTGTTGAATGAGACTTCTGAACTCTAGAAGATGTTTCACACTTTGTTGGGTCATTAAGATTACAAGGGTAAGACAATGTGCTGTTCTTTACTCTTTTACCTCATCATTTACTCATTACACAGTGCGTAACTTCCTGAGTTGGCTACTGCAGTGTTACTGATGGTCCTGTTACAATCTGATGCTTAATGTTGAAATCTGGTTCTTCAGGGCTTGGGATTGAATCCTGGTCAGTGGGCTGCAATATAAAGCTCAGTTTACATGCAATATAACGCTTCCCAAGATTCCCTGGAAAATCAGGTCGTTGTCGTTGCATAGGGCTGCATGTTGCATATTCTTTATTTCTCACTTTATGATATTCTTAACAGGGATTTTCAATTTCAGCATTCGCTCAGATCTGATGGATTTCTCACCCTGATTCCCTGAAAGCCAGGCATTGTGTTAGATGAACATGCTGCTATTTGATTTCAGACTTCATGAAGAAAAACATGACTGGTTTCTGTAAGACTTCGTAGTAACGTAGCCTGAAGTCTTCTTGAAGTGAGTAGCCTTTAAAGAAGAAAGCAGTCAGCCTCAGTGTATGTGTTGTGATCGGTCATGTGGCTGCTGTGTGCAAACTAAACAAAATACTTATTAAATCTTCTGAGTTCAGACAGAGTAGGGAATCCAAACTTACTGTATTTTAAATAGATTAACTTTCTATATCTAAAATCTTTTGTGCAATGCCATGCAAAACCATAGGGGAATCAACTGCAAGCTGAATACTTGTCATGTGGTGGTGATCCTGAAAATTAGCTTTCATGGGATGTATTTGTTGCAGGATTTGCATGCATGGCTAAGTTTCAAACCAGCAGACACAGCTTCATTAATAATGGCTGACTTGGTGCTCTACTACAGCTAAAATGCTTCTATCTCCTAATGCAACAGGAGCTGTAAATCCCCCATGACTGGCTCCCTTACACTAGTACCCCTTCAAAGAGGCTGCTAAATCCTTAGGTAGCCTATATAAGAAACTGCAACTGTTTCCATAAATTGTCTTCTAGTCCAGCTGTGTTTTCTGTACGTACTGCCTTTTGCAGCAGTTCTTGTAACTGCTGTCAGAGCTTTTGCTTTACAAAGCATTTGATGCATGCAGCACTTCCTGGTTTGTTTTTTTTCTTCTGCTTTACCCAGTTTTGAAGTCATACATAAAGGCTACATTATAGATTGATTTTCTTTGTAATTTTGGAGATGAATTTGGGTTTATTTCTGCACAGAGTGTCTTGGCACTCTTCCAACAAGCAGTTCTTTTACTTTCATTTACAACTTCATTCCTTCTATTTTTTCATGCAACTTCTGGTTCTCTTAGAATTTTGATTTCACAAAGCATTCTTTAATGTCATTCTCATCGTGTATGTCTAACTATTTAAGGGGAATTATTTTCTGTTGTGATCTCTAAGGTTTTAAGTTGTGGCTGATCTTTATCTTAAAAGGTCTAGGACTTAATGAATGTTAACACTTCCTGTGGGGGAAAAAAAAAAGGGATACTACTTTGTTGAATAGGAATCGTACTCTATTTTTAATGAGCTTGCTGATTTGATAGAAAATATTAATGAAAGGCACATCTATCAATTAAGAAGAAATACATTACCTAATTAGAGGACCTTAACTGAAGTTATCAGCCATGTAGAAGCTGTTAACTTTTTGCTTTGCATTTAGAGTGCAGAAGAATGTTACTGGAGGTAGGACAGGAAGGTCAGGAATTCAGCTAAATTTGAAACAAAAGAAAAGTCCTCCTCAGGTATTAATGTGCAGAATGAACTCATCCTAGCAGAGGTAGCATTTCTGAAGTCAGCATTCTTCTATATCTACTTTCCCGTGAGATGATAAAATCACATTTATTTAACTCCCAGAAAACAGGTCTTTAGATTTTGCTAAGCTGTAACTGTACTAAAAAAGCTGCATGGACACTTCTGTTTAAAGTTAGCTATGTGCGACGCATACGAGGCTTAAGTGCCACAGGCACAGTCTTTTATTTTGAGTGGTTCATAAACACTTTTCTTCCATGTGAAAATTACACTGGTTATATGTACTTACAGAATATGTTGCCACTGCTGGGTGAACTTATGTGAATTCTGTAGTTTATACCAGAAAGAGTTACTATTTTGGATTCAAGGGCTTTTCTTATATTTATAGGACTTATTCTAAGTACTTACAGGGTTGTAGTTCAATATATGCTTGTATATATTTCAAACAGTAGTGTAAAGATCATTGCCATTTTGTCATTCTTAAGATCATGAAGCATAAAGTACTGAGGAGATGCTAGTTCTATGAAACCTGTCATTTGCTCCTGTGTAACGAAGTGCTGTGCCTTCATCAGCTGAGTCTACAAACCTTAATTTTCATGCATGATTTACAAGTGATAGTAATGGCCATCAAAATATAAATTACATCATCTTTTATTCTCTGAAACAGGACCTAGAGCTATATTCAGTAAAAGGACTTTATATAGAGAGGCAGACGAGCTGCCTTCTGCCTTTCTCTCATCACTTGAATCTTGTATTCTTTATTGCCTGCCGACATGAGAAAGAAAAAGGTGCGCTATGGTCTAAAATAGTGGATAGCTTGATCTATGTGATTCACATTCCTATAGCTTATGCAAGCTTATGCAAGTTGCATTTCTAGCATCTGATTATTCAGAAATTGCATGTTAGCATCTTATGAATCCCAACTGATGATTTTAGGAATTGATGCAGCGGTAAATCAATAGGCTGCATCCAAACTCTAGTCGTTCCTTCAGTGTAAGCAGTAAGGAAAGTGCTGATATTTTTTTTCCCCCCTGTGCTAGAAGTGATAAAAAAATATCTGATGAGAAGTAAAAAAAAAACACCCTGAAAAACAAGGTCAACTAGGAGATAAGAAAGAAGCTACATAGATGTTGTCATTGAACTGCATGGAAATGAAAGATATATAGAGAAAAAAAAATACCTCCAAAGATATGTTATGTTACTGCAGTTCTAGGGCATTTGACTGAAGTGGAATGCAATTTGCTACCAGTTCTTTGGAAGGCAGCATCAGCTGGCAGGTCTTATGACTGACTGTCTGATCAGTACCTCTTATTCATGACTATTAACTGCATCTAAGTGAGGTGTTCTTAATGGCTAGCACCAGTTTAAGTATCGCAGGATGCTCTGCAATAAAACGTACTGCTCTCAGGTTTCCATGGTTTTTTAGATTAATTTTAGAAGTGGTCAGAGAAGCCGCTGACTTCAGATGCTGTGTTCTTTGGCAGCCATCTCATGCCATATTCTTTGTAAAAGGAGGCATGCTCCCTGGAAAAGCAGCACGTGTTTATTTTGGCTCATGGTTTCAAGACACAAGGACTCCACTGTTCAGTGTAGGATCAC